AGCAAACTCAGTGCAGCGGTTCGAATGATTGTTGGATGTGCATTTCTCAAATACCGGTCCGTAGCCTAAAGCGTTACATGTCTGCCTTGTAATCCGAGAGCTGAAGTTCGAGCCTGCGTAGCAACCGGGCGATCCCCGAAGTATCCTTAGCCCACGTGCGACTGTTGGGGGTTGCATGGGCAGCAAAGCGCCGGTACAATCTGCCGTCCATTTTTCTCTCAAAGTGGGTTTCGAGAACGATTGCTCATAAGCGTCTCACATTTTCGAGTCGAATGATTTTTTAACGACATCACGTGAGATCGTGAAAAACGGTCAAGATATTGAGAAGCGATAGGTAGTTTGCTTTTTTCATGTTTCTAATCATATTTCGATTTGACCAGATTCAAATTTCTAACTGCTCCCACAATACAGTGTTCACTATTCAGACCTCTCCATACCTCGGCTTAGGTAACGGGATAGTATCTGGCCCACTGACAGCACCATGGATTCCGTAACCACTACTATGTCGCTGCCTTCAGTGTTTACGCATCAGCATCACACACTAAACTTACCATCGTTAGTAGTTCATATTTCTTCGAATCTACTTTCGACGCTACTCGCACCGATGCCCAAAGAGTCCGGCAAGTGACTTTTCTTGTGCATATAGGACAGCAAGCTTATCTTAGTTACACCCTAGTGTTCTTCGATAGCAATGTTTGTTTTCTTTCTTATACTCGGTTACAGAATTCCAGCATCGTGCTTAGTTTTGACGCCCCCTGTTGGTCTCTGAACCAAATATTCCTTGCTTCTGTTTGCTAACAGGTAGCTGCAGCAGACTTCACTGCTGTTGGCATCGCAATGTGTGACAAAGGTGCTCGCTGCTCAATTAGTTCCCGGTTAATAGCCTGTTGTGTACGGCTCGACTTCAAGCTTCATACAGGCTCAGCAAACATCATAGCGAGAGACACTCCTTTTCAATCAGCTGTAGTTTTGCATCGGTTAGAGATCACTTTTTATCACGGGCTCCAACAACTGTCGGGTGATGCCGAAAAATCCGATGCCGTCATCCTTGCTGGGGAGTTTATTACACTATTCTGTCGTCTATTGCCATACGGACATAATCTTGGTAACCGTCATGTCCTTGATGAGGGTCGTTCTGATAACGGATATAGAATTGTCACGTTATGCGAAGGCAGCCGCCTGTTTTTTTTCGAACACGAACTTTACCTTTTCGAGGGGACGCGCCGCCACATGCCCCCCCTTCGCTAACGCAAGCCTGGTCACATTGCAATCACCTTCAGATGACAGGGCAGTGTACTGTATTGCAGATCGCGCTCTGATCTGTGCGGACATCTGCATGCACTTTGAAAGTTCCTTACAACAAAGCACCCTGACGCTTTATACCAACAGGCTAACTAATTTCTACACTTAGATGACATCTCAGTCTTCCTCATCAGATGCGTTCGTTGTTGTTTTACCTCAGGACGTCGAACATAACTGGAGTTTCTTGCAGAAGGCGTTGCTTTCTTCCAGTCAATCATTCTGTGGAATCACTGGTCGTCCTCTAATGCGTTTGAACGTCACCAGCGGTTTCCAACTGCAGTGTAGTCCTCCGCCACTTCCGTAATGACCTGCTTAACGATCGCGAAAATTGGTGGTCTCAACGCGCTTCAAAAATGGAGATAGCTCTCTCTTTGAAAATTTCCCGTAGCTTCCCTAAATCATATGGGTACCCTTGCCTTATTCGCCAACGACATAGCAATCAGTTTACTATCTCTCGCCAACGAATTGTAAACATCCATTCTACTCCGCAGGCTAATTCCGATTCGGGAAGCATACTGTCGTGAAGAGCTAGCCTGTTTCCGTCCACTTCGAGGGTTTGCAGATCACATGTTTACGCTCCGTCAAACTCCTCGAGCAGCACCACCTTTACCACCAACCTACAGTTGTAGCCTTTTGAACAACCACGCTGCCTTCTACTCGGCCGATCGGCACAATTTATGGCGTTTGATAAAAAATAAGGTACGCGAAAAGTAAACCGCCATCCTTCGAGCTTTATACAGTTATATCACTAGTAGAGTGCGGACCCACGATTAGCTCTATTTATCTTTCTCGGTCACTGGAGGTGTACGACGCGGGGGTGTCCCATGTTCCTGTTTCGCTTCAGTATTACGATATAGGATATCCTATTAGGCATTCTGGAAACTTTCATAATTCTGGCAACCACGTAACTGACTTGGACTATGCTGGCGATATTGCCTTGCTCGGTGTCCACCCACACGTTATGCAGGTCATTCTGATCCGTTTCGCGATTGAAGCTGTCATGACTTTTGCCCCATAAAATGCAAAGTCCTACTTGAGAATTGGCATCTAATTGCCTCAATGCTGACTATTGAGCTCACCAACCTTAGCGAGTGGATACCTCTGTCTACCTTGGGAGTTGGGTTTCTGCTGGTAGAAACACTAGAAGAGTGTTTCCTCTTTACATTGTTATAGTCTCCAATGTATCCGGAAATGCGCGTATCCAATCCCTCCCAAGCAGATTTGAGAGATCTCCGGAGACCACATATACAGGAACTGTCTGTGCCCTGTCGGCGTATTGCATCTTTACCGAGCATTTACCAAAGGCACTTATCGGTTCATTAGTTTACGTGCGGCGAACAAAATTTCAAATTGATAACGGCGATAACATTTTCCTTAATGATCGTCATTGATGCTCCGTTTCGATTTCCATCTACATCTGTCCCTCACTATAAACCTCTAGGGTGTGCGGTGCGAGACGCATCTTGGGAACTGTATTCGACCATATGAAATGCAATTCGGACTCGTTTCCCTCTGACTCGTCCACTGTTTTAATGGGCTTCGTTCCCCGATAAGCCTCTATTAAACGACGTTTAACGATCCGCATACTCACGCCAAGTAACCAGTCTTCCCGCAATTTCTGCATACTTTTGATGTCGATAGTCCGACGGACAACTGTGGCCCTCTCCACAACCATAGCATACGAACAGACTGACGTTATTAGGTGTCTCATTAGATTTTGGAATGCTATGGAGCAATCACAGATCCTCCGATGGGTCTCTCAGAGTAACCGTTGTTAGTTGCTGGGTGAGGTTTTCCCTCTGCCGGGCAAGCATGTAGGATGTCTCCCACGTCAGCCAAAAATGCCTCCTATGAACGGACTACGGCCCAGCCACCACATTATGTACATGTAGTATGCAAGGCTCCAATTAGACAGAAATGCTGCTGCTGTGTATGTTGAAGGAGTGTGGACCGGCTCCGTTGATGAAACGTGGATCACGTCCACACGGCTCCCGGTCTTATTCTTTCTGGTTTATATTGGCTACGTTGTGTGTAGATGGAGCTGTGGGTAGTGCAGCACATTAGGCGATGTCGAGTAAAATTTATAATCAGTAGAGATAGGAGAATTAAATACGAAGTCTCAGTTGTTTTTTCCTTTCCCTGTTTATATAGGGTCACATTAACGCGGTCATTGTGACCGCTTTCTCGGTAGCACGAACACAAATACTATTTTTCTTGAAAGTTATAGCAGATATCAAAGTCCAATTCTAGTTATAAAGTAGAACTAAAAACCTTAAGTCACAAAATATCTTCGGAACGTTTTTTGAAATGTAGTTACTATGTCCATATAACAATGCTGGCCGGTCACAATGACCACCCCGGGCGTTCTAGTTTTGAGCCCATTACCATTGACCACTAGACCTGAACTCAGCTGACTAGGCTAGTGCCACTGCAGGGTTAAACTTTGAACAGGTACACATAGTTTACACAGCTCCAGCTTTAGCTGCTTGATCTCAATTGCTTCTGCCGTGGGCAGCGTTTTGATGCCGGAATTCCGGCCCAGTCCGAGTCCTTTGTTCTGTAACAGTTCACTCGCACCAGTGTAGCGAAGTACCTCGGACACACGATAGCGGATAGCGGAACACTGTTCCGCCTCATTACAACCTGGTACGACCAGAAATGTCCACAACTCCATCCTGAAATACCTAGTGAACACTGGACGTGAAATACAAGCGAATAGTGTTTCCAAAATTGCGTATATGCTATCAAAATGCTGCCTACTGACCACGGCAAAAGCAATCGCGGTCAATCGACTTAAGCCGGAACTATGTAAGCAGCGTGTACTTAAGCAAAGTTTAACCTTAAGGTGTCCCTAGCCTCGTCAACTGACCTCAGGCATAGTGGTCAGTGGTAGTCGGTTCAAATTGACATGGAATGTCACCGTTCCTCTGGTCGCAGCATATACGACAGATCGCCGCATCGCATCTAGTAGTTCTTATTCCAGTGATTATGTATCTCATTTTGTAATTGCTCGATGAGATTTATCAAAAGGAAATGTCTTCGCATTTTGGTCCTTTGGACATCTGAATGGATTTATGAGTTGGATTGCTATTCGATTGTCAGTATAACATATGCTATATATCTGCCGGTGACTGAATGGATTAGACGCCTACATCATAACTCGGAAGTCACTGGTTCGGATCCGTGTAGGGGCGGGCGACCTCGCGGTACACCCAGTTCACGCGCGGATGGAAGTGGTCACGTGGCGGCGAAGCATTGATACGATATACCAGCGTGCTGCTGATGCCTTTCTGTATGCCATATATGGCTAATATCTAGCTTCGCAAAACCCGGACAATCGACTGACGATTCTTTTAGTTTTTGGTAATTGGTAGTTGTATTTTTCGGATAAATCAGATTTTACCAAGTGCCGGATGGAAGAGTATTGTGTGAGCTGTTCAATATAAACTTTGGGTCGTTCAACTGGCGTCCGTGAGATGATTCTTTTTTTCATCTGAAGGCAGTGCATTTCCCCACACAGAGGACACTTGGATTTTGGGGTGGAAAATCTTTTTACTACGTAGTGCATCGCACGAATCATTCCCATTGAATGCACAGACGATTTTATGTCAGCTACATAGATAACTACAGTTTATGGTATACTCTTTTCATCACTGCAGATGAGAAAAAGAAGAGTACCAAGGACGCGACTTCGGATTACCCCACTGATGAATCCCGTCAGTTTCGTTATGTTGTTACCATTTTTTGCCACTTGGTTTCCACCACATACTTGAGACCTTAGCCATGTTAACGTAGGGTTTCTGGTGTTCACAGATCAAAATTTATGAGATAATTTTGTGTGCGGCATCCGACCAAAGTCTTACATCAGGTCTGGAAAAAACCAAGACGATTGCTTTCGAAAGTCAGTGACTGTTGTCATATCGTTGCGAAAACCTGCTTGCAAAGTCACGCATGTTCCTGACTTTATAGATCTTCGTTTGCCGACAAATGCGGAATGGGAACCCCTGAAAGGAAGGGCAAAGATCTCTGATTACTATGTTGTGCGACCAGTTGATGTTCTGTGGCTAACCATTCCGAGCGATTGATGTTGTTCATGGTGCTTTGCCTTTAACCTTTGAATGGGCAATCTGATCCGAACGGTGGTGGGGAACCTGTCCAGCACATTTGTGTGTGACTGCCTAAATCAGTGCGATATATCACACTCACCATTGGAAGATTTGGAGCAGTTTCTGGGTGGTTTGCCCTTCTTGTATATAGTGCATCTCTGACCACCGCCATCCGTAGATGACCTACACAGTATACATAGCCGTGACGGCGTTTGAAAAGTGAATCTCCTCGTTTCATTGAATCCCGGAAGTATGCAAACCATCTTGTCACGCTAAAGTCCAGTTTTCTCACGGTGCCGCCATTACTTGACACAGTTACGTCATTATTTCAGAACGTGTAGGAGCAGGAACTCGTCAGTCGTTTACTTTTTTATCCTATCCTCTCTTGGAAACTGACGGACAACGTCGTTTTTCTACGGATTTCGCATTTTATAGCTGTGTCTATTGAATCCGTTGAGTTTTTGATGTTGAATTTGACTAGCCATTAGCGTTCACCGGTGTCTACACCTAGTGTATGCATTTTGAAAGGCATATTCTATCGGATGCAAGATGGTAAGTATGATGAGGGTGTCCATTTCTTTAAGAGAAAAGTTTTCACACGAACTGATATGGGACCATAGATGGTTGCACACTGCGACAGTATGCAATGGGCGCTTGTGTCAACATGCTGCGGTCACTCCCGTATGACGCACTTTCATTCCCAGATGCACGCTTACCTTTTATTCGTGTGTCTTGATGCGGTCACTGTCATTCTAATCCTGCCACTCTCCTTGTTCGTTTCCTACTCGTAACGTAACTCTGTTTTCATGTTCTCCGTACGGTGGGTGGCTGTTCGGTGTTCTGTTCACATCCACACACTTTTGCTTTATTATTCTCTTGATTACTCAACGGAATTGGGCGCATCAGAAAACTGTTCCTTTGCACAGCTACACTGGTTGCTTTTCCCACTGACTGCCGATATGTCTCCGCTCATATATGCTAGTGTGACTGCACGAACAGACTTATGACACTTATGTATACTGCGTCTGTGCTGGAATGGACAGTGGAATTATGTTCACTTGATGCAGTCGCACTCCGACACGTAAGTCGGTGGCGTAAACGCCGGGAGCTCATAGGTTCAGGCTTGTGTATGACCACACTAGAACTACTCTGCGAGAAGCACTCTCACGAATGCTGCACATAGTTTGTCTCTTTTTGTACGGTTGAGTCAGCAGTGCCTACGTTTGAGTGATTTTGATATATGGAATCTTGTTCTGTGGAACTTCTGCCTACTGTCTCTTCCTGATACTTTTTATTGTCAAGCTTCCGCTTGGCTATTAAATACGAAAACATCCTCTTACTCAATAGTAATCGAAAATTCGCTGTTACGCTCTTTCAACGGTATGCGTTCACTGCTGCCGTGTAACGGAAGTTGTGGCCTCTGGAAGCCAGCCGTTGTCCTTTGCGATGGTAGGAACATGCACGGTGCTATATCCTAGTTTGCTTACAAGTCAAGATGGTCTACCATCGTCCTCATGGTTCAGTGGCAAAGGTTGCTATCCAGTTAGCTCAAGCTGCTATCGGTCATGGGTTCGGTTGGCTAACGGTGGCCTAGCGAATGTACTATACGGACAAGCATCATTAGGGCGAAACGTCCGTCTGCTGCTTTTCCGGATTCGTGACTCAACTTTGGGGCTTGTGTTCTGCTGGGACGAGTCATATTTTGTCACCTTTTGTTCTGCGCCTCTTTCCGGCTTTGGACCGATGGAAGTGGAATGCAGGTGACTCGAAATACTTGGCGATATGTTCCGCAGCCCAGGTCAACGGAAAACACTTGTGTTAAATTTTTACTTTGGTTGTTTAATGTTGAATACTCGAGAGCGACAATATGGGACAGATTGCATGCGACGGATTCCCCAATTTTGACGTTTATCCATCCCAGGAAACCGTATATTACCGAATATAAGCCAATGATTTTTGGACAATATTTCATTTCTGTATTTGGGGGTCGGTTTATAAAATGTTTATGCGCCATTTGAAGAGTCACGTTTAAAATCCACCCAGGAATTCACTGCACATTGCCCCTATCTCCCCATAGCGGCAACCGCTAGTGACGGACGGTATTCCAAGCGAGGATTTGCTGTGCCTCATTTTTTCGTATGGTGTCCACGCAGCACTGCGGGCAGCGTGCCTATAACTATGCACGTTATTTTTGTGGCGAAAATTCTCGGTATACTGCACGTTTGACGTTCGCGACGGATGACAGTAACGTACGGGAATATACATAGCCAAGCACCACCATACTTAGTAACATGGGAAAGAGCATGACAGAAAAGCATTAGGGGTAGGTTTTTTTGGTCAGTTAATGTAGGGACTTACGACTTGGGACAAATTTGATATTGCAAAGTCATACTGTCGGCCTATCCATGGACGGGCTTATATCCGGTACTAAACGTTACTCTCCACATTGCCATAATCTCCTTTACAGGCAACAGGTCCTGAATTATTCTTTTCTCATATTGTCGAATCAATGGCAGCGACGTTCTCACTGAGCCAAGTGGGCCATTTGCAGCTGTATAACCGGACATCAGCATCAATGATCACGCGGTACTTCAGCTAACGTGAAAAGAGCACGGAATGCAGCTAGGCTGGCATTGCCAGTTTACTTCGCATTCATATGCATCATAGAGAGAGTTGACCAAATTTGAACAACGAACAATGGATCTATACGGGTTAAGGAGCGTTGCTTTACAAGTCCCGTTGGATACTTGGTGGGGTTATCGAAATAACAATAATGATAATAATGATAGTTAAATAGTTAGTACTTCAAATATGAAAATAAAGACTTATCGTTTGCTCCGCCGTAGTTCTGCAATCCGCTTAGATTCACAGCACCCGCAATTAACATCAAATAATTCCATGGTAAACTCCAGGTGTAGGATGGAGACGTAGTGCTAAGTGACAAAGTGTAAGTGGATGAGTGCATCATCCAACCGTGTTTTATATACTGTTAGTGTCGGTATAGAGAAGACCGATTCTGGGTGAGCATTTAATGCGTGACAGACAGGAATAGAGGAGAAATTTTTGCGGCAATCTAGGTGGCTATAGTGTATTGCGAGTTTTAGTGAATCAGCCATCAGGTTTGTGTTTCTGATGAGTTGCAGTAAAGGGTGACACATATGATGTGGGTCTCACAGAATCAAATATGCCATAATAGGTCGCCTCGTAGTCTGCGATAGATTCCACTAAATAAGCTCAATCGTTGCAGCCTCACCTGGTATGCATGATTGCGCGTTCCAATTACGTTTCTAGATGCCCACGTTGTAGCTACTGCAGTGTCTTAAGGTCGTGTTTCAGCCATGGATGCCAGGCTTGAATTGCGTATTCGACATGGGAGCGAGCACACACACTGAGCACTTGTCGAAACATGGAGTTGTTTCTTTGTCCAAACGCCCGTCGCCACTACCCGACAAGTTGGTTCCCAGTCTTCGAGGTCTTTTCGGATTGCCTGGTGCAACCCAAGTCATCTTGAACCAGGACGCCCAAGCCACGTTTGAGAGTTGATCGTTGTGGTATGTTCGTTCAGAGCCGCTATGAGTAGCTGCCCTGATAACGGATGGAAAGCAACTTGCAATTACTGACGTTAAAATGCAGTAAGTTTTATGTTGCCCATTGCTCCACCGTATCTAGGTCCCTCTGAAACACCTGCTAATCGGCGTTCGCCTGGATCCTGCGCCACATCTTGATATCGTCGGCAAACATTAGGAAGTTTGAAGCGATTCCCTGTGCAACGTCATTAATAAACACCAAAAACAAACGTGGACCTAGAACTGAGCCTTGCGGCACACCACAATCGACTTGCATGGGTCCGATACAGAGCTCCTAACTCTGATCACTAATTGTCGTTGTCGGCAATCCAGCTTAGAAGAGGGTCGCCGATCCCGTAATGCTGGAGGTTGGAGAGTAGTATCCGATAATCTTGACGATCGAATGCCTTCGAAAAATCCAGGTAGATCACATCGCCACCTTCTCCAGCGTCAGCTGCCTCGGTCCAACTACTGCGTGCCATGAGTAAATTAGTTGTACGTGACCGCAGTCGACGGAAACCGTGCTGCTCAGACGTGATGATGTTACCGTTTTCCAGATAACACACCAGTGCATCGGCAACTATGGCTTCCTTGACCTTGGAGAGTATAGGAAGAAGGGTTACTGGGCGGTAGTTGGAGGGATCAGTTCTGCTCCCACCTTTGTGAATCGGGGTTATTATTCCAAGCTTCCACATGGCGGGAACTTGATTCTGGTCTAAGCAGCGCTGGAAAAGCTGAGCTAAAGTTCCTTCCAGTTGGCTTGCTATTGCTTCCAATGCCTCTGGACGAATGTTTTCGACACCCGTCGTAGGGACCTCAGCTTTTGCAATACAGCCTCCGCGGTAGTAGTGATGTGTTGACGACAATAATTTGGAGATCGCTTGGTGGCAAAGCCGTCTGAAACGTGGAGGCATATTGCATCCGCAGCTCGTTTGCTGCTTTCACAGCCGTTCTTGTTGGGCCATCAGCCGTCCTCATTGGGGGGAATGATTGCCTCAACTTTCGTAGGCTCTGGTGCTACTTGTACAGTAGTTTGTGATTAGCACTAAAGGTTTTTGCTGTGTTCTACTGATGGGCGGCTTTTTCTTCTCTTAGCAGTTGAGTGCAGTGGTTACTTTGGGCTACGTAGTTGTCCTAAGTTTCTGGTGCTGGAGCTTCTCTGTACACTCGCCATGCTGCGTTGCGTACTGTCATCCATTTTCGAGTTCTGCTCCTAACGAAAGAAACTGATGTACACTTATTGAAAACGCTTATTTCTGCAGCCACGGCCATCAGCTGACTGAATTTGTTGACGAACTCGAGTCAGGCGACTTCCGGGGATTCTTCGGCAAGGAACAACCAAGTTGTAGCGCTGATGAGCTGTGCCAATCGCTCGTAGCTTCTGATGGTTCACAGGCTCATCGTTCTCATTCCGATATTCCTCATAGCAGACGAAGTTGAAACTGATCATTGCGTGATCACTGCGACCCAACACGCAGCCTAAAACCGACAAATCAATCACATGCTCATTGTTGGTAAGCACAAGATCCAGCACAGATGACCTGTTGTTACCTGTTCTGAACCAAGTGGGCAAAGTGATGTGATTGTAAAGAGGAACGGTGGTTACAAGATCTTGTAGATCGGCTTTAAATTGTTCTCCGATCGTGGGGGGCGTTTCTTAACAATGTACATTGTAATTACCCATGATAAGTATGTGAGTGTACTTTCGCTGTAGTCTACATCTTAAAGCAGCCGCTAAGTGGCAGTCGGTTTCGGGTGTAGAGTTAGAGTGCGGTACATCATGACAATTAGGCAATCGTCCCTGACTTTTAACTGCAAGCGGTACCAACGAGATTCGGGGAACTGCGAGTCTGAAGCCGCCACGGCTTCTCACTGTAAGTCGCTTCAATTATACAGGATTACCTCTCCTCCTTTTGTGAGCCTATCGTTCCGGCTCAGCGACATGCGCGGTAGCGAAACTTCAGCGTCCGTCATTCCCGTGTGCAACCACGTCTCGGTGATAGCGATCACACCATATGACCCGGAAGCTTGGCGATCTTTCAGTTCGACCAATTTATTAAAAAAGCCCTTAATATTCGTATACAAGCAGGCCAGTTTCTCGGTCTCTAGGATCCCACAGGGAGGTGAAGGGGTCAAGTGTGGGAGGATGCCGTCCGATGGAAAGTCGGTAGTTACTCGCCTTTTTGATGCGATAATGATACCTCGTCTGAAACTGGATTCGGCCAAGGTGCATCCAAGTCTTCGTTTAGACCTGCGTCAGAGTTAATTAAAGCAGCAGTCAGGTTACGCTTCTGTGCATTCATCGGTACGCATGCTGCTTCAGATGCTTTAATATTTGAGCTGTGCAACGCTTCTGCGACCTTTAACCGAAGTTCAGTTGCTTGTTGCTCTGACTGAACCATGGGTTTTAGGACCATAGGGCCGCATCCTCTATAGTTTGGTGAGAGAGATATCCTGGTGCGCGATGGCGCCACAATATTATCCGAAGAAAGTGTTTCACGAATGCACCGCCACTGTTCTAAATCGTGCTTTCCGGTCTCTTGAGCATGGTTAGAAGCATGTTCTGGCACGCCATGTATGAAGATTGTGTTTAAGCAATCCTGCTTGCTTTGTCCCTCTTCGGTGTTTTTTATTGTCGCGCGCTCCAAGGGACACCAGCATAGATACGTATCCCACAGCATCCGTGTTTTAGCGCGCCTGCGGAGAGCAAAACCTTTTCTGCGTCAGTGGAGGATTCTAGTGTTACTCGAGTAAGTCTGGGTGCTCCATAGCGTGGCGAGTCCGGATGACGAGTAGTTCGTAATAACTATGGGCTTGGCTTGGCCACTTATCAGCACGCCCAATGAGTTCCATTGGTCTTGGTGGTCCGATAACTTATCCCGCAATGTGATGCCGGTAGATTCAGGGACATTTGAGCGTGCAACAGTCCGGGCACTATTGTTGGGTCCCTTTTTCGTTGATGTACAAGGTAGGGTACTCGTTTGTCCTGGCCTTACAAGTGTTGATTGTTTACTGTTTGTTCCTCTATTCGCGTTAATGGCGTTTATGACAGTAGAGGGCGCAACGGTGGACCTTTGCAACAATCTCCGCATATCTAACTAATGTTCCGAGTGGCTTTGTTTCGACAATAGACATTTGAGCTACAGGTACCGAAGGTTGGTGTTCGGCTGCTTCATCCTTGTTAATGCTAGATGTCAGGTCTAGTGGAATTTGCTTAACCAGGCATTTCGAATAGTGCCTGCTTCTCGCCGTCCTGAGTATTGTTCGACTCTCGTATTTCTGGTCAGTTTTCGCCCTGCGTTCTATCAAACTTGGAGAAGACAACTGAGATGGGTACGTGGCTGATTACAGTTCAGGGGAAGCGGATTGTGCAGCATTCCGTTGCCTAGAAGCTTCTACGATTCCGTAGTGCATACTTGTTTCCATTAAAGTAATCTTATCGTTTATCCTGTGCTCGGCTTCTGCGCTTAACCTGTCGCACTTCTGAACTAAGATAAGCAAGCACTTAACGAGTGGAATGGTGAATCACGCAGTACAGAACCAAAGTGCATCTTGGGAGCTATTTCGCTCTCATACCTTTTGTTGGAACACATTTGCACATTTCGTATGATACCATTCCAAACAGTGCGAGCAAGTCAGACCGATTTTAACTACTCTATGACAGGAGTTACGCAGCGGCCAGTGGATTTGTTTCGAACTATCCATCTTATGATCGTTCCAGCGGAGGAGGTACGTGTTTGCCACTCGTGCCTGAGGGATCTCTAGAACATTTACTTCGATGCTGTGATCAGTCATGCGTGTAGACGGACAGACAGGTACCTCAATAGCTTGTTCTCGTCCTCCATTGCTTTGCTTGCGGGTGTACCAGGCAAGACAGATCCAAATTTTGTGGTGTTTGCAACCCCATTCCGCACTGAACTTGCCTCTGCATACTTGTAATCAAAACGCTTTGTGACACAATCATTTAAAATGACTTTGCATTTGGGTATAGGAAACGTCCATCCATACATCCGATTGACAGTGGATGTGTTAGAAATAATCTATCCTTTGGTGAAAATTCAGAATGCGTTCACTTTAGAATTAGAGGCCAAGCGCACCTCACAACTCTAAATCTACTTTGTATGATTATTAATATTGTTATTATATGATTATTATTGCTATTGCTGCATGTCCAACTTTTCTCGTAGTTATGATTACTTGCTACTGTTGTTTGCAATTGTACACTCAGCTACGAATCATAACACAGTTGCACAAATGGAATCAAAGCAGGAGAGACAAGTACAAGTCTCCTCATAATGCGGCGATGGCATTCTATACACTAGGCTTTCTTGGGACGCTGTTCGTCAGTACTTTGGTCCCCAATGTGAATGATCAGTGCGACGTTTACGTGCAATTGGAGATGGAGAATACTTGACTCAATGAATCTGCCTGCAGTCCTCTACTGTGGAACACACCCTCACTTTGCATTTGATTTACACCAGAATATTTTTCTGAATACTGTTGATGCATTTTTATCTTCACCTAATTTTATGCAGTGTTTTATTATTAAACCACTGTAATTTGTATACGATCACGTGTTGTTCCAAACAAAGATTTTAGTTATGGATGGATGGTGTGGTACAAATTAGAGGCCAAAGCCTTACAAATCCCGTAGGTTGCTTTGGTTGAACTACATCAGTACAGTTACAGACATGACTATCAATTTATACCGCCCATCTGTGAACTCACTGTTATACATATATAAGTAAAGGGACATTTTTTATCGTCGACGCGAAACATGCGTGTGTCGGGATGATCACTTAGGCACAATTAGGTACGGAGCATAAATCATAAGATGATCTGCAGTGTTACAAAAAAAACAGACAACCATTAAAATTTTAATAAGTGCGATTATAAGAGTTATTCGAGAAAGCGCTCAGTGTACTACATGTACAGTATTATGATAAACGTGTTTCTTGCGGTACTACGGGCGGATACGGAAACCATTGATAGTTGTGAAACAAATTTGGTATGGGTACACATGTTTTAACAATTGTTGAATTGATGGAATAAAATGTAAAAAATCGTAAGATGCGTTCGGATTTGGTTTCTCGTTGTGTACGTATAAATCCAGAATTGGCGAAATTGGGGCGAGCGAATTTTAAATAGGGCAGTAATGAGTCGCAGTGGTTTACATTCACAGTCAATCAGCCGTAGTGCACCTAATTACACGGTATTCAGATGGCTAGTACATGTTGGAACCACTGTTCGGTAACGGCTGGAACATCCTCAAGGAGTATAGCATGCCATATAGCGGCATGTTATTTGCAGTAGGATTGAGGAAAATAAAGTTACATCCATCATCATCATTATACACGTTAGCTAGAGGTGGGGAACACCTCAGATGCTGTGCCGCAATACATAGAGGAAAAATGGAAATGTAACAGGTGCAAGCAGGCTGAGCTGCCGGTAACGGATGGGCATCGTTCCGGTACGCTACCAGCTGTCTACTGTGCATCAAACAAAAATTACTATGCAAGATTATATAAGGCTAAATAGTGCGATCGTAGTTGGTGGGGGAGGCTAAGATGGATGCGATGGGACAAAGAAACTCACAGCACGAACGCCACTGAGGTCGGCTCCTAGCCATATCAGCAAGTATGTCCAACCAAACGTGTTCATCGTCTTTCGGACCCCAACCAGGGAGCCGAGACGCTCCAACCGAGGCCAGCTCAGAAGTGAGGGCCAAAGTTGTGTCCACTGCAGCATAAATGACACGGTGATCCTTCTGGTGGCAAATTAGTGCAGTAATACTTGAAGGAAACATCAACACGGATGTGTTTGGAAGGTTTCGCGCTGGCGAAGTGGATATCACAGTGCACCGAAGCGACACACCTGGTAAATAGAGTGATCTCTTCAATTCATTCCGGTACATAAGCAATCCGTTTATTGGCAGTTCGCGCTAACGAGGTGGGTATGGGTCGTAACAGAATTCTCCAGAAGTTGATTAACGTCGAACCCATTTGTTCAAACCCCAAAGATGGGTATCCCATTGTGCCAAAGTAATACCAAGTAGATGAAATTGCTCTAGTAATCTAAATAAATTCTGGCCCATAGGTAGTTAGTTTAGAAGCACTTCGTACCAGCGCGATAGTTAAAGTATTTACATTAGCGCCAAGTAAATGAAATAATATGACAAAGTGCCAATCCCACTGGTGAAGTTAACATCGGATGTATGGCATGTACCTGCCAGGTATCTGAATAGCTTCAGGTGAAATTTAGTTCCGTGAAGTTGTATTTCCAGTATGATTGGCTGAGCTGTCAACATATCTGTCCTTCGACATACGAATCATAATTTCCACATCCTGGGCGATGGTCCATGTAAGTTGTATAGAACTTTTATGTAAATCTCATGCGCGTCGGAAGATAAAAAATTAGACGACAAAAGCATCCACACGCAAGAAAATGAGTGAATTGTTGTCTATACCATATTCAACAATGTTCTGGACGTGCTTGTTAAATATGGTGTTACGTACGTGTCTCTTAGAATGAAAATGGTGATTGAATAACGATACGACGACTTGGTCGCAGAAACTTTGTGACTGTAGTGTGTTCATGCAACGGGGATACGATCGTTCATGGGAGTTAATATCCACTTTTTAGTGCTAATCGGCTAGAAAGCAACAGGAAAGAAGGTGGTTCTGAGCGGAACCATTATGAAAGGACAGTTACGGGAAAGGGGTAGTAAAGGGGAGTATTGTAATCAAAATATTAGGGTTGGGTAACGGAAGGAATGCGCCCGGTCAGGACTAGGAGTAATGGGCTGAAGCTAATAATAAACGAATCCCTTCATGGGGAATTCGAGGGGCAGCACTACATTGGGGACAGAGTGGTCCGTTAGGGATAGAGTGTGCTACTGTGCATTGTAGAATTGGCGCCTACCAAAAGGAATTATTAACCAGATGGAACATAGGAAGGAGCAAACATCAAGGTTAAAACGTAAATGTGAAATGCAGACCTAAGAGAAAAAAGAAGCATCGGTGAGAAAGGGAACCTCCGAAACAGATGCGTCAATAACATAAGGCGTGCAAAAAGACGAGAGACAGGTCGGACATGAATTAGGATCTAACATGTAGAGCAAAAAGCCTGTCTAAACTAAAAGCTTAAATAGAATGACAAAAAGAATAGAACGTCGGTCATGGTGAAAATGTGAAAGAAATGCCTGTATAGGTGGAAGACAGGACTGAAGCATTGGTCATGGTAAGAAGAGAAGAAGAAGAAGAAAAGCCTGTTATTGATGATGAAAACAGGTAACATTGCGAAGTATACCTTCCGAAGCAGATGTGTCAGTGACCTACGACATACCAGGTGGCTAAATGCAAGCCAGACGACTAGAGTAGTAGTGTACATAGCGGAGCATTAAATTGTCTAAACTGAATTATGAGTGGAAGTTCGATAGTAATAGGCAAAGTAAATTCGGTGATGGAAACAAGAGGGGCTTGTCATGATGGATAACAAAGGTATCGGTGCAGAAGCGAAGCTCCGAAGATGATGCGTGGGTGATATATGACCTGCTAGGGGCCTCAGACATAAATGCTATCCAACTAAACAGCATAATAAGTGTAAGAGAAAAGGTACGAAGCATCGGTCTTGGTCTGAAGAATGGAAAGAAAAAAGATTATCCATTCGGGATGAAAGATGAATTATTGAGAAAGAGACCCTCCAAAGCAGATGCGTCCATCATTTAGACCCTACCAGTTGGGTATTAATGCGCTTTGCATAAAGTTGTCTAAATAAAAGAATAATTGGTGGGTGTAAGATGTTACTCGGTAAAAGGAATTGGATGAGGAATAAGAGGCCTGTCACAAGGACAAAATGAAGTATCCATGTGAATGAGACCCTATGCACCAGATGCGTCAAGGATCTGGTACCTACCAGGTGGACAGAGATGGGTGAAGCATGAGTTTGGTTCAGGCAAGCTGCGCATAAAGTTTGTCCAAATAAGTAAGGGATCAAATGGAAGTGAAAATAAAATAAAGCATCGGACATAGTTGGAACGAAGAGGAAGGCAGTCTGTCAATTAGGGCTAAACTGGACCTGACCTGCAGTGGCCCTTAGAAGCTGATGCCTCAGAGTACGGGATCTGCTACGGGGCATGTGAGAAGCCTGGCGTGATTTGTGTTCTGACATGTACAGACTAAAGTATGCTCAACTAAAGGCAGTAATAAGTGGAAGGGAGAATTGAATAAAACCTTACTCATGGTGAGAAGCCTAAAGAAAAGTCGGCATAGTAGCAAGATAGGAAGGAAAGGGAGGGAAGGGCTTGGTGAGGAGTGTTGGCAACTTCCGGTTCAGAATCTGCCTATGTCTCGTGGCTTATCTATTAAGGCACCAGCGTAGCCACTAGGGACCAACAGAGACAAAACGACGTTTCAGCTATATATGTAAATATCATCAATGCCGCGCTTGGTAACTGCGCTGCTTCCGATGCCACTTAATAGCCCAAACTAATAATGCACTCGTTGTAGCACACGTACTAGTTCACGGCTTCAGTTAATCTTTACGTGTGCATGCTCTTTGATCTTCTTGCATTTCAAGTATTTTGTTCATTCATATCTTCGGTTCTGCTGCGCTGTTAACCTTGACGAGATGACTGCCCGTACGAAAACGCCACTCGGATTAAAATGGCTCCAGAGACCGTTGGTCGTTGCTGGAAGAGACGAAGTGCCCGGTCCTCCTGACAGTGATAGACTCAGAGAGTTATTCCATCCAGTGTTGGATGGGTTATGGCTCAGCCACCGCCTTGCATGCATCTAGCACGCACATTTTTTCCAATTGGATAGAATTGATGTTGCTTTGCAAGCTGAAACGGTGTGGAGCGCATCAGTTGATGAACCGTAGATCGAAGCCACTTACCTCCCAATATTTTTCTTTCAGAATTACAACGAATATGGCGTATGGGGTTGGTGAAGCGGAACCCATCATCCCTCACTGGGCGCAGTCGTCCTGTGACCGTCCCCATGGAGGCCGCACTGGCAGGCAAGTCCGGAAACGGGCGCAACCCTCAGATATATATATATATATATATATATATATATATATCGCGGCGTTGTGAAAGATCCACACTTTCCGCGCCTGTGGTGCTTCGGCAATTACACGAGAATATTGACTTTGCTTCTTACGTCGGACAAAACACCATGTCAGCCGAATCGCCCACACGGACATTGTGTCTCTTCGCAGTCTCTGGAAATAATTGATGCTCGCCGGCATATTCTGGCGGGAAGCGAACACAGTGAAACTCGCATAGTGCTCCTGGC